CCCTTTCTTTTGAGTTGAGACTGTAAGTATTCTTCTTACATCTTTGGAAATCTAAACTCCAAATGATGAATCGAATAATTGCTCGATACCTAAAATTCTATTCTATCAGTCAACCCAATCCCCATTTGCACTAGCACTAGTTTGAGATCGCAAGTACCCTTCTTTAAATTCCTTCAGAAATCTGAATTCAACTTGTTTCTTCATCATCAATCGCATAATTGTACGATGCCTTAAGATTGGATCATTCAACCCAATACCCATGTGCACTATGACTAGTTTGATTATACCTTTCAGAATAATTCATAAATTGGGGATTAGATCTAAAGATTGTTTCATCCTCAACTGTTATATGCTTATTCTGTATATACACAATATGGGGTTGGAAGATCATGTGTACAAGCCAAAAGAGAGACCTAGTCAACACCAGAGCTTCAAAATAAAACGGGAACTGGGAAATCTTTAGATACGTAGTAGAAACATAACAGGAAATAAGATAGACTGCTTTCATACTGTGTTATTATTTTCTCGGTTGCCATTTAAACAATCCTGCATGTTGTTGAACTCATTCCCTGGTCTTGTTTTGATGCTTTGAAATCTGTTGTTCAGGTTGAGGACATTGTTCGAGCAGCAAAGAGATCTTGCTACAAATCAAGTTCATTGGCCGCAACTGCTTAAAAGTTACAATGATCAAAAGGTTTTCTCGTTTCTAGATTTTTTTTTAGCTCCGTGTGGTGTGGGTTTTTACCAGTTTTGCTACAAAATAAGATTAAAAACATTGATGGGATACAAGTTTCTAAAATTTCCTTCTCATTTTGTCACAGTTGAAGAAGGATTAATATGTAAGAAAACTGACGAAGCTGAGCGAAGCAAATGATGCAAAGCCATTGTTGTTATTTTAGTTTTGTCTGCAAAATTTGTTACTTTTCAGGTTCTAATTGCATATTCCACCACGTTCATCAAGTTTGCAATATCATCGTTTTTTTACCCATAATTCGGCTACAATGTATCGCGTCATGCTCTTCATAATCATCTCCGGCTTGAGACTCATCATGTTGAACTTTTGAAATGTTAGCCGATGATTTCTTTCATCCTTTTACTGGAGAATAATTTTACGATCAATAATTTTTTTGTGCTGATTGTCTCTTAACTGAATCCATTGCGTACATAAACTATGCATGTGAATGTATCTTTTGTATTCAACAGAAGAAGTACAATTGTGTCTTGATGAAAATGGAGAGGACTATGAATGCAAATAGTGATGACAAAATGACCTGATCTTGCTCCCGAACGAGGCGGGAATCTCCGCCCCATGTGGTCCTTGTTTGATTTCCATTACTTTTAAAATACATTTTTCTCTCTTGTTAATTATACATTTTTCAATAAAATATTATTACACACAAATCCAAAAAAAATAAAAATTTCTTATTTTTTAGCCATACATTTTCAATCAATATATTATTTCAGGATGCATTCTCAATAAAAAAAAATAAGGGCTCAAACAGGCTTTTAGTAATCAAGGATGGAATGGGAACACGGTCCTTCTACTCAACCTGCTATGACTTATTTTTAGGGAAAATTGCAGCAGTGGTTTATAATCTTTTCATTTTTTGTAAAACTTATCCTAACTTTCATTTTGTGTCAACAAAAGTACTTAATTTTTCATAAATATTCACTTGAGGTCTATTTAGATGGAAACCGTTCAAAACACCATCAGTGGAGAACAGAGAATTAGATTGTTTTCAACATTGAAAATTATTGTTCTAATATATCCCTTTTACCTTAAAAGAGAGGATGCCAACGTTACTATTCATCGAGGCAGAGCTTTTACACTAAATTGGCTCCCAACTGTAGTTAAACTCGTTCAGCATTATTTTCATTGAAAAGAGGTTTTAATTATTTCTACTGTTCATCCACAGAAATGAAATTAATGCGGCTACTTTATTGCTTTCCATTGTTGACTTAAACAAGTAATTTACTGCAGCTCCATGTTCATTCCCTATTATCTACTAGTTTTCTACCCATGCAATGCATGGATTGCACTTTTTTGGAAGTGTTGTTAGTGTGTTCAATGTTATATGAATTTAACAATTCAATGAAAACAAACTTGTGTAATGTCGAGAAGTTTTTTCTAGGTAGTTTGTGTTTTGAATTTTTTAGTTCGTATGGTTGGAATGCTATATTATTGGCTAAATGCAATGAAATAAAGCTCTAAATGGAACATGTTTTGTACATTACAATAAATAATAATATGAATATAACTACTATGTTTGCTTTATTTATCTATTAGAAGTATGTAGAATTGAAAGCTAAAGAAAAAGTAAAATTTAATAGATTGCAGCAGTGTTCTTTCATGAAGGTAAAAAAGTACATATATA